AGTCCTCCATAAAATGTGCTGCACACATCTGAATATTTGGGTTGAAGTGTTCTGGAACAGTGTTGTAAATACAACTTAACCACTGATTTCTAGTCGTGTCCTCTTTTGGAAGACCAAACAAAGTAGTTTCGCTTTCACAACGAAACACACAGCGTCTTCACAACATGGCAGCGGCAGCAACAATAAAGTTACGCCTTCTTTCTTTGCGTGAACATTTGGGTGCGTTATGCAAATCTTCCCACACAGTGATGTAGATATGTGGGGGTGTTTAAAAGAGGCGTTTTAGGAGGGCGTGGACGAGTCTTAACTTTTATGTAGAATATCTCTTTGGGTTTGAGACTTTAGTCTTTGCAACTTTAGGGATCTTATCTATTCACAATCAGCTTGTAACACTCCAAAGAGAAAAGGAAAACTTGAAATCGCATCATATGACCCCTTTAAAACATTTTGGTCATTTTGGTGTGTCTTTAGCAGAAGTTTGACTTGTGCTTGTTAGAGTGGCGTTGCGTTTGGTCATGTGATCCAATGCACTGAGCCGCTTCACTCGTATGGGCAACATGAGTTTGTTCAGCTCCTGATCTCGGTTCTCATCTTTCAATAATAGACATGCAGGCCAAAAGTAAAATTTAAAACAATGCCTTTGCTGAAGAGTGTGAGGAATTGATAGTCAACTATAATGAATTACATTATATAAAACAAAAAAATTAGGTTTTAAAAATTGTGATTTTAAAATCACATGTATTTCACACAGTTTAAATATGCTAATATGTATAAAAAATAGTGCTGTCAAACGATTAATCGCATCCAAAATAAAAGTTTTTGTTTACATAATAAATATACACTGTACACATACATATATTATGTATTTATAAATACAAACACATGCTTGTATACATTTAAGAAAAATAAGTTGTTTATATTTTAAATATATTTATATATAATATAAATGATATGAATATAAATATATACACATGTAAATGTTTTTCGAAATATATACTGTATGTGTGTGTATTTATATATACATAATAAATATACACGCATATAATATGTAAACAAAAACTTTTATTTTGGATGCGATTAATCGATTGACAGCACTAATAAAAAAATAAAAATACATCATTATAATACATTAAATGCAATATTATTATTAACTAAAGCTAAAACTAACTTTGAAATGTAGCTTTGAAAGTTATTGAAATAAGCCTGAAATAAAATATAAATACTAGATGGAAAAATAAAAAAACTTAAATTAATTAATATAAATATATACATTTATTAATATAATGTGTAATACATAAAAAAAAATGAATAATAATAAATTAAATATGCTAGGTAGAGTTATTGTTAAAAAGCACATAAAATTACTAAAACTTAAGCCAAATTTAAAATGAAAACTGAAAATATAAATGCTATAATTTATTATAATTTACTGTACTGTAATTAGTTAGTAAATAATATTAAAGTGATCATACAATTTAGTAATAGATTAAAATTGCTTGTGTTTGATAAGGCATGCTTTAATGATTATGAAAACAATCAAATTAAACCAAATCATGACCTGAAATCATGTTTCAGGTATCATGGTGTATGGCTGCATCATTTCGACAGTAATTTAGAAAATGATCTGAAATGAATTGTGTGAAATATTTAAACCACTAATACAGGTTTTATATTAACGCTTGGAGCATTCAAAGTTATAATTGGTTTGAAAAATTTCCCACGACTGGTTAATATCTACATTATTATCGTGCAGTACTTAACAGATAATTTTTCCTTCTTCAGTATAATTGTACTATGTTGTAATCCTCATTCCTCATGTTTTCTTTCTGTAGGTTGCCGGGCGTAAAGGTTTTCCTCATGTAATCTACGCGCGCTTGTGGCGCTGGCCTGACCTTCACAAGAACGAGCTGAAGCATGTGAAATTCTGCCAGTACGCATTTGACCTCAAATACGATAATGTCTGTGTCAACCCTTACCATTATGAGAGAGTGGTGTCACCAGGCATCGGTGAGTCTGCTGTCCTTTCATTCATCACCATGAACCAAGACGTTACTGAGCTGTGTGCAGCACTTCCTGAGTCTGCAAAAATACAGTCTCATGCTTTTCTGTCAGTGCAGGAAAACACATTGTAATAAGTTTTTATCTTTTTTTTCTTTCTCTCATCTCAAGTTGGTCTCAGTCTTCAAAACACGGGTAAGTCATGCAATAATCAGTGTTGGGGAGTAACTAGTTACATGTAAAGAATTTCGTAATTTAATTACAAAATAAATGTAATACTAATCAGTTACAGTTACTGAGAAAAAAAGTAATTAAAGTACAGTAACTTCTGAAAATGTTAACGTTATGAATCAAAATGTTACATCTGAATTTTTACTCACACATACAGATTTAATTGATTTCTTTCCCAAAATGCACTGACTGCTCTAAAATATGAGACACCAATGTTTCAGGAGTTTAGGACACAGAATTAAAACCAAAATTGTTTAAAGGCTGAAATGTGAAGTTTATCATTTTACGAAACATTTTGTTTTTGTGAAAACCTGTATCTAAACTGTAAATAAAGCTCATATTTACAGTTCAATGTGTTACCATAGACATTGCCCTAAAGTGCTCATATGGTATTAATTTTATTTGTGCAGGCCTTAAAAAGGTTTTAAAAAGTCTGAAATCTTGTTTTAAAAGTCCTGCAGATACCCTGTAGTACTAAGTTATTTAAGTATTAGTTTCATACTATTATATTATTCAATAAATAAAACCTGTTTCTGTCAATTAATATTATTATTTTAGTATTTTTAATGTATTATTAAAGTTATTTATATTCTTTATAACCTTTATTTTTAAATTTTCAGTTTTATTTAAAATTTTGTAATTTTCTGATGCGTTTTTGACTTTTTTATTATTGTTACTTTTAATATATTCACACACACACACACACACACACACACTATGGTTCAAATGTTTAGAATAATGAAGATTTTTAATTATAAATAATTAAGAAGTCTCTTATGTTCACCAAGGCTGCATTTATTTGATCAGAAACAGTAATAACAGTAATATTGTAGAATATTATTACAATTTCAAATGACCGTTTTTCTATTTGAATATTTTAAAGTGTAATTTATTTCTGTGATGCCAAGTTAATAAATTCCTTCAGAAATCATTCTAATATGCTGACTTGCTGTTCAAGAAACATGATTATTAAAAATTTAATTACATCAGACTTTTAACTTTTTTTAAAAACATTTTTATTACATTAAATCAAATGATAAATTATACAATTTCTAAAATATATTTTTAAAAATATAAATTTATTTATTGAAATGTTTATTAATGAACCGATAAAGTTACGAAATTATGAAATATTGAACATGATGATAAACAGTGTTATTTTAAGTTTTTCAACAAAAAATGACTTGCCATTCCACACAGGCTCAAAACAGATTCACTGATTCGGTTAAGTCCCAAATGAATCTGTGATTTATTTATTTTTGGTTGTTATGAACTGACTCGATTTGTCCTCTGGCTCATATGTAGGTCCCACTGGCAGACTAATAAAGGAAGAGTACAGCCACGACTGCATTCAGATGGACGTTCCCCCAGGCCTGCCTCCTCAGCAGGACCACCAGGGGGCGATGAAACTCCCTCCTCCGGACCACTACGGCCAGCCACTGCCTCCTCTACAGCTGCCTTCAGAACCCAGCCGCGCCCCCCCGCCGGTCACCCTTTACTCCAACATGCCCCTCTCCCCCACCGGTAAGCGCTGACCACTGGCCACACAGGACTCTCAGCTGTTGTAATCAGTGTCATCTTCCAAACTCTCATGTCTTTCAGCTTCAGGCTCTATGATGCCGATGCAGGGAGGTCACGGTGAAGGCTTACTTCAGATTGCATCTCCTCAGGGTCAAGTCATGACCCCTACCCCTCCCCCCTCCACCCCTACACATGGACCCCCACAGACCCCCGTCCCACCGCAGCCTCCACCCAACCAGAACGGCTACAACAGCTCCAAACACTCCCAGACGCAAGGCTCCTTTCACAGTGAGTATCACACCACGTCCTAACCAATCACAACGCGACTAGTGATGCATTTATTTAGTGATAACAATAAGTTTGTGTTAATTTGAGTTTTTGACCAGTGTTACAAATGCCATGTTTACATGTACATAATTTTCTGATTAAGGTTATAATAACAATAAATTATGCATAATTACACTATTTGACTTTATCCTTAAAACAAAAAAAAGTTTTTTTTCTATTTCTTTAATCTTTCCCTGTCTAGCGTGTACTTATTTGAACAATGCATGAAACTTGGTATGACGAGCACTTCCTGTGTCTATTCGCCTCTTTAAGATGAATCGCTTGATGTATTCCCCAATTGTAAGTCGCTTTGGATAAAAGCGTCTGCTAAATGAATAAATATTAATGTACAAGCAAGTAACCCTAAGCCAAACCCTAATCCTAACTCTAACCATATAGTAAGTGCATGTAGTTAATTAATATTACTCAGTACTGAAATATATAATCACACTGTGTAACCTGAATTTGCATTTTCTGTAAGCCCCTCTGCTGTTTTTGTTCAGACCAATGCGAACATCGACCCATATGCACTGCAGCAAACGCACAGTTATAAATGTGAACAAGTGGATCGACAAGAAGCTAATGCTAAAGCATTATAAAAATCTAAATAATTAAGATATATTTGTTATTTAATATAATAATTGTTTAAATTAAACAATCTCTCTTTAAACAATCTCTTTAAAACCAAAATTGTTTAAAGGCTGAAATGTGAAGTTTATCATTTTACGAAACATTTTGTTTTTGTGAAAACCTGTATCTAAACTGTAAATAAAGCTCATATTTACAGTTTAATGTGTTACCATAGACATTGCCCTAAAGTGCTCATATGGTATTAATTTTATTTGTGCAGGCCTTAAAAAGGTTTTAAAAAGTCTGAAATCTTGTTTTAAAAGTCCTGCAGATACCCTGTAGTACTAAGTTATTTAAGTATTAGTTTCATACTATTATATTATTCAATAAATAAAACCTGTTTCTGTCAATTAATATTATTATTTTAGTATTTTTAATGTATTATTAAAGTTATTTATATTCTTTATAACCTTTATTTTTAAATTTTCAGTTTTATTTAAAATGTTGTAATTTTCTGATGTGTTTTTGACTTTTTTATTATTGTTACTTTTAATATATTTTTCTCAGTAATAACAGTAATATTGTAGAATATTATTACAATTTCAAATGACCGTTTTTCTATTTGAATATTTTAAAGTGTAATTTATTTCTGTGATGCCAAGTTAATAAATTCCTTCAGAAATCATTCTAATATGCTGACTTGCTGTTCAAGAAACATGATTATTAAAAATTTAATTACATCAGACTTTTAACTTTTTTTAAAAACATTTTTATTACATTAAATCAAATGATAAATTATACAATTTCTAAAATATATTTTTAAAAATATAAATTTATTTATTGAAATGTTTATTAATGAACCGATAAAGTTACGAAATTATGAAATATTGAACATGATGATAAACAGTGTTATTTTAAGTTTTTCAACAAAAAATGACTTGCCATTCCACACAGGCTCAAAACAGATTCACTGATTCGGTTAAGTCCCAAATGAATCTGTGATTTATTTATTTTTGGTTGTTATGAACTGACTCGATTTGTCCTCTGGCTCATATGTAGGTCCCACTGGCAGACTAATAAAGGAAGAGTACAGCCACGACTGCATTCAGATGGACGTTCCCCCAGGCCTGCCTCCTCAGCAGGACCACCAGGGGGCGATGAAACTCCCTCCTCCGGACCACTACGGCCAGCCACTGCCTCCTCTACAGCTGCCTTCAGAACCCAGCCGCGCCCCCCCGCCGGTCACCCTTTACTCCAACATGCCCCTCTCCCCCACCGGTAAGCGCTGACCACTGGCCACACAGGACTCTCAGCTGTTGTAATCAGTGTCATCTTCCAAACTCTCATGTCTTTCAGCTTCAGGCTCTATGATGCCGATGCAGGGAGGTCACGGTGAAGGCTTACTTCAGATTGCATCTCCTCAGGGTCAAGTCATGACCCCTACACCTCCCCCCTCCACCCCCACACAAGGACCCCCACAGAACCCTGTCCCACCCCAACCCCCCCCCAAACAGTTTGTGTTTTTCATCTAACATTTATGATTTAATTTCAGCTTTATTTCAATTAATGAAACCTTTGAATAATTTTAGTATTAGTTAATAATAACATCTTGGCTTCTGTAGCCCCGCCCACAGTGAAATCTCACTGATCCAAACTCCATATATTGGCCGTGGCTTTGGCATGTACTTTCTCTTTCAGTGTAGACAGATAAAATACTTGTCGCTGGAAACTTGTCGTGTCATGCCCGTTTAGGTGTTATGATCTTTTCATTGCTTCATACACAAAACATTTCTAATCTTTCAATTGCTGCAGCAAACTGGACAGGCAGCAGCACAGCCTCCTACACTCCAGTAGGACCCCAGCAAAACGGACGCGGCCACCAGCCTCCTCTCCATCACCCACACTTCTGTACGTATGCCTTAAACATTGCTACAAACATGTATGCAAATATACCATTATTCTTAATAGAACTGAATCAATCCATTATTATTTCTTTCTCTATCAGGGTCTCAGCATCACAGTTCAGCGTCTTTCCCCCCTCCAGTCTCCAACCATCCAGGTTTATACTTTATATAATCTCCACTAAAACACACAATACAAAACGTTCAAATGGTCTGAGATTAAAAAAATAAAAAGAAGAAAATAAACGAATTCTTCTTTTCAGCAAGGACACATTAAATTGATCAAGAGTGCATCCACAGGTCCTGAGTTCTGGTGCTCCATCTCATACTTCGAGATGGATGTGCAGGTGGGGGAGATGTTTAAAGTGCTGTCCAGCTGTCCGGTGGTGACGATTGATGGGTATGTGGACCCCTCAGGAGGAGACCGCTTCTGCCTGGGTCAGCTCAGTAATGTGCACCGCACAGACGCCAGTGAGCGCGCCAGGTATGTGCAACTGATCCAGCCAGTAAATACCTCTGAGTCATATACTGAATATTCATGATTTAATCCGTATTGTCTTGCAAATGTAAAACCAACATTGCGAATATGACAATGTCCTTTTATTAAGCTTTAAAGACCAATGCCAGTAGACTTGTTCCATATTTATTCTTTTATCACAACTTGATTGGAATTACATTTTTAATAGCATCAAAGAAAGAAAGAAAGGTAGAGATGCAGACAGTTTCAAGCTATTGATGAAAGACAATTTTGGAGCAAGGAGGAGAATCAACAAAATATTTTAGCTTGACTGCATATTTTTTTTTTTTTTAAGATTAAAAAGATATAAAGTGTTTGTATGCGTGTGTGTGTACACACACACACATATCTATCTATCTGCGATGATGAAAATCATCAAAAGGCTGAAAAATATCAAGCTATATTGTCCAGACAAAATGGCTGTATGTGTGTGATGTGTTTATTTGTGTATAGATGAGTTTCACAGGTTTCATGTTTGCCTTAACACACGTTTCAAAAACGCCTTACTGTGCCAGATTGACACTGTGATGAACAATAATAAACAAACAGATTATGCGAGATAACAGCCGGGAAATAACTGGCTTTAACAAACTGATGAAATGAAATGTAAGCGTATCAACAGAGGCACATCTGGTTTTACGTAACTACCTGATGGAAGCAGAAATGTTGTAAAGGCAGTTCTGTTTCAGTGTCTTCTCTCTCTGTCTGCAGGTTGCACATAGGTAAAGGAGTGCAGCTGGAGTGCCGCGGCGAGGGCGACGTATGGATGCGCTGCATGAGCGATCATGCTGTCTTTGTGCAGAGTTACTACCTGGACAGAGAAGCGGGTCGAGCGCCAGGAGATGCAGTGCACAAGATCTACCCAGGGGCCTACATAAAGGTAAAAGATTAACCCATGAAAACTGTGGATGTCAAAGATGAAACACTTAAAGGTATAGTTCACCCAAAAATGAAAATTAGCCCGTTATTTACTCACCCTCAAGGCATCCTAGGTGTATATGACTTTCTTCTTTCAGATGAATCCAGTTGTATTGAGTTATATTAAAAATTGTCTTTGATCTTTCAAGCTGTTTAATGGCAGTCAGCGGGTGTTGCATGCATCAGTCCAAAAGAAGTTAAATAAAGCACATCCATTCATAATAAAAAGTGTCTCACACGGCTCCGGGGGGTGAACAAAGGCCTCCTGTAGTGAATCGATGCGTATTTGTAAGAAAAATATCCATATTCAAAACGTAATAATCACTTTAATCTTTATTTTAAAAATGCTTTATTTAACTTCTTTTGGACTGATGCATGCAACACCCGCTGAGTGCCATTTAAACAGCTTGAAAGATCAAAGACAATTTTTAATATAACTCCGACTGGATTCATCTGAAAGAAGAAAGTCATATACACCTAGGATGCCTTGAGGATGAGTAATTTATGGGTTAATTTTCAGTTTTGGGTGAACTAATCCTTTAAGCGTATTTTAAAAATGATTTATAGGACGAAATAGTGCAATGTTAATAGTGCCAGTCAAACAGCATTGACTTTTGTTGAAAACTAGATTGTGGTTGAAGTTTTTAGCTTTGAATTTTTTTTATTGTATTTTATTTACATTTTACTTGTTAACTACTAAATAAATCACAAAAAAGACTACATAGATTAAACAAATTACAAAATACAACGATTAAAATAGAAATTGCTTTTCAAATTAATAAATATAAGATATATTTAATTTATAGTTTATAGTAATTTATTGTCTAATTTGTATTTGGTCTTTGAAATATAGCTTTTTTTGTAGTTAAAATGTAACACTTCAAAATGTAAATAAATCAGTTTTCATGATTTAAATGATGATGAATTTTTATATGAATATATAAATAAATGGATGGAAATGTTTATATAAATTACATAAATTAATGGATGAATTTAGACCAGCTGCTTATGTAATTTATTTAATAAAATTAATGTTTTTGTGGTTAAAAACATTGTTCATGTAACAAAATAAAGCATCTACAAGCATTTAAATCCATTTATTTGTCAATTAGAAAAGTTTTTTATTTTTAAGCATAAAAGCAAATTTGACCTTTTATGTATAAAAAAACAGTATTTAAAAAATGTAAATAAGCAACTTGTCAATGTCTATTTGTCCATTTGAAAAGTTATTTACATTTTTACATGTTTTTGTGAAGTAAAATGTAGTTTCATGTAACAATAAAGTAAACATACATTTTTAAATGCAAACAAAATAAAATATTAAAAAATGTAAATAAAAATCAGATAAATTCCTTATTTAATTTTTTAAAAATTATTTTTGGGTGCGTTTTCATAGTACATGGTAGTGCAATCATGCTGTTATTATTATTACATCTTAAAAAATCAAGGAAAACTTCTCCTAATATGGCCCCTGTAATTCCAGCCTCGATGGCCAGTGAATACCTTTGTGCACTTGAGAGCTCTGTATGTATTTTTGCTTCCTGTCACATTAGATTTGCTTGATCCAGAGCTTGACTTTTTTTTTTAAGCCTGTCCAAATGACTTCTCGTCAGCCCATTGTTTCAGGACACAGCAGCGAGGTCTCTGTATGTCATTGCTGTGCTGATAGCAGAAGTGTGAGTGTGTTGTGTGGTTTCTGCAGGTCTTTGACCTCAGGCAGTGCCACAGGCAGATGCAGCAGCAGGCGGCCACGGCTACGGCGGCGGCGGCTGCACAGGCCGCGGCGGTGGCAGGGAATATTCCAGGACCAGGAAGCGTCGGTGGAATCGCTCCTGCAGTCAGTGAGTGTCTGCCTCATTCACTGTGAACTCAAAATGAGGGTTTTTGGACTTTAAAGGGCTAGTTCACCCAAAAATGAAAATTACCACATGATTTACTCTCAAGGCATCCTAGGTGTATATGACTTCCTTCTTTCAGGCGAATGCAATCTGAGTTAAATTAAAAATTATCCTGGCACTTCCAAGCTTTATAATGGCAATGGGTGGGTGTTTCTTTTCAACAGTCCAAAACAAGTCCAATAAAGCGCAATCCTCCATAATAAAACGTGCCTCTCGCGGCTCCGGGGAGTGAACAAAGGCCTCCTGTAACGAATTGATGCATTTTTGTAAGAAAAATATCCATATTTAAGACGTAATAATCACTTTTCTCTAGCTTGCGCCAACAGTCGTACACGGAAGACGTTCCTGACGGTGCAGGTACAGGTGACAACCACATTTACAGAAATTCTAGGCAGTGTGTACCGAACTGAACAACTAGTTTTTAAAACTAGACAAATTTAAACGCATTTTGTCTTTTTGTGTGTGGTTGTATGGTTTGACTCATTAGTGTTGCCAGATATTCCTAGAAAAAAGAGCAAATAGAACAAACTCATGATGAATCCAAACGCATTATCTTGGAAAGGCACCACATTAGGGTTGTGACAGTGAGGAAATTTTCCCACCGGTTAATCGACGTGTGACAACACCAGGTATCACCACGGGGGCGTTCCCTCTTTTCCTCGCTTTCCTTCACTTTTAAATAGCTTGTAAAAGCTGCGTGCGCATTTTACTTTAACTTTCAAATAGCGGCAATTCGGCATAAAGCAATTGTTCATTTTTAGTTCGTTTGAATTTTCCCTCTTTTCCTCGCTTTTAAATCGCTTAAAAGCACCGTGTGCATTTTACTTTCACTTTCGAATTAGCGGCAATTCGGCGTCAATTGTTTGAAAGCAACAACAAAATACAACAACTTACATAAGGTTTAAATAGGTAGCCTATATAAAACTGGAAACAAGTAAACATGTATAATATATAACCAAACAAATAAGAAACGTAGAAAGTTTACGATCGTCTTGTCTGTCTCACCTCACTCTTCTTGTCCGTTAGCTCGACTCACTCTCCTCACTGGAGAAATGAAATCTGATCTGTGATGCGACTGCATTGAGCAGCCGCGTTCAGTTTTTAATTGTAGTGTCTGTTCTTTTACTGAACTATATGATTTTTAATACTATAAAAAAAATCTAAACGATGGTGGGGGTCGGTGCCGCGGTGGGCAAGTGACGTAACCGGTGTTGTGGCTTAACACCAGTATCACCGTTTCAAGTTTTGATATATTTACAGTAGGAAATTTACAAAATATCTTCATGGAACATGATCTTTACTTAATATCCTAATGATTTTTGGCATAAAAGAAAAATCTATAATTTTGACCCATACAATGTATTGTTGGCTATTGCTACAAATATACCCCAGCGACTTAAGACTGGTTTTGTGCTCCAGGGTCACATATGTGGTAGGAAAAAAAGGCAATACAAATAGCACCAGTTAACTGACAATTACATCTGAAACTTTACAACAGAAAATAAGTCAACACTGGATAGAAATCTGTTTTGGTCAAGTTTTATCATATAAACGTAATAGATTTTTTTGTCATTTCTGTAGCCTGACTTTGGGAATGTTTGTTTCCAGGCCTCTCGGCAGCAGCAGGGATTGGTGTGGATGATCTCCGGAGGCTGTGCATCCTGCGCCTGAGCTTCGTGAAGGGCTGGGGTCCTGACTATCCGCGGCAGAGCATCAAGCACACCCCCTGCTGGGTGGAGGTGCATTTGCACCGGGCGCTGCAGCTGCTGGACGAGGTGCTGCATACTATGCCACTGGCAGACCCTGGACCGGCTAACTGAGAGCGAACGATACACAGCAAACACTCACCACCACACAGATACTGGACGCACTACAGTAAACGTGCGAAGAGCATTACCTGCTACAGTGTGCTTCACACTTTTAGCAGTCATTAGAATACCAATGAAAACACCACAGAATTTCACTATTCAAAAATTCATGTTTTGGAAAGATATTTCAGTGCATTTTCTTGTTCTATAGTGAAATGTTGCATTTCTTTTCGGGTTAATCTCACAAAAACATGTCTAGGTCATATTTCGCTCTAATATAAAAAATTATATTTGCTTAAAGACAATGAAGACTATTTTTAGGAATTTTAAAAAAAAATTTGCATTATGACTAGGGCTGCAAAGGGGCGGAACATTTCTGGAAACTTCCCAAAAATTCTAGAAAGTTTCTGGAAATTTGCCAGACATTTTCTGCCCCTTTGCAGCCCTAATTATGACATTTGTTTTTTTATTAATTAAGCACATTTTCCTGCCAAATTCTGAATCATTCCTGCCAAAATAACTGAAATGTTTCCAGATGGTTTGAGGTTGTTTGTTTGCAATGGTGATGTACAGATTACTGTATATTTTTGATTTAAAACAATGATTTGTTTGATTAAATTAAGGGCGGTCCAACAAATATAATTACGATTACAGTTATACAAATATAATAATTAATATTTGTAGTATTTTTTAAAAAGTCAGGTTGTGTTCTCATTAAATATTTAAAAGAACAATTATGCTATATATATATATATATATATATTTATATAAGAATAAAAGAATAATAATGTTAGATATATTATATTATGATAATTTTTTAAAATATTATTTCAATGAGAATTGGGGGAAATATGATTGATTATCATGGAAATAATTCTGTAAAAAAAAATCCTTTTTTTTTTTTTGTTGCATTTTCTTTATACAGAATATCGTTTTCTATTTCTTTCTCTTGTTTTTATAGTGCAATATGACCTTGACATGTTCTTGATGGGATTTGTGAGACTCATCCGTTCAAATTAGATGTATATACCATAGCGCGATAGGTCTACTAATGAATGCAAGTTTACACAGGGTTGATTGCAGATTAAGTTCAGGGAAATAGATTTATTGTTCATATGCCTTTCTAGCTTTGCACATCATGCAGTTATACTAAGAATTTTAGAGTCTAATAGTTTTGCAATACTCGTAGAAAAAGCTTAAAATCTGTCCTTGCAAGAATTGAATTTATGGGTCAGTGTCTGAACAATGAACATAAAACAAAAGATAAGAATAACTCCCGCTTTTGCAGTGGCCTTGGTTCCAGAAGTATTTTTCCATTCATTCACTCCATGAGAGTTCTGAGCTACAAGATGAACATTACACAGCATTTTGAATTTAAATGAGTTTGTATACTATACAATAAGTTTATTGCAAAATATTTGTTCAAATATTGGGTCGTGAGATTGACTCGAATCTCTGTGGAGAAAATGAACGGTATTTTTACTTTTGGAGCTATACGGTTGTGCTCTATTACACTCTGGTATCACACATACACGCAACACGGTCCAAGACGACACAAGGGAGGAAGAGACTTTTCGACCTCCAATCAAGTTTTTTGCATAAACTCAGAATATCTTGAGATCCACGGGTTTGGTAGCGCTAAATGCCTCCGAGCAAATCGCTATATTGGCGCTGGTCACTTCAGGAAGCGTTGGATACGACCAGCTGATGTAGATGCAAACCTGCCTCTGAGAGACAAACTGAACCAGACAGATAACAGGACAAACCGTCAAAACAAAACACTCATCATCTCTGTGCTTGTGCTGTGCTCCTCTACATGTGGACCTCAACTCAGCTTATTAGTTAGACTTGCAATAGCCTTCCAGCTCCTTTATTTTCATGCCAAAAAAAGAAGAAAAAAATTGTTCAGCTTTACAATGGTGGTATTAGTATCGTGACGCAGTTCGGTGTTTGTAACCAAATCATTTGCCATGTGGTGTAAGTCACCAAAGCCAGATTACCTCATGATAATCAAGCATGAACCCAGTGGATTTTTCTTTATGCCAAAATGTGTCTGGAATCTTCTACTTTCTGGACGTCATGCTCACCTCATACTTTAACCAAATCAAAACAGGGCGTGTCTTGAACCGAATGTAGAGCCTTGATGCACCGACTGACCGATTTCAAACAACGGGTTTTTGCCAACACCAGTAACTCAGCTTTAGCTTGTATCTCATCGAGAAACTCATGTCTGGATTGTGACCAAAATTCAGCCCTATACCACTATAACCTTTTGCGGTAACACTTCACAATAAGGCTCATTAGTTAAACATTAGTTAATGTATAAACTAACATGAACTAACCATGAGCAATACATTTGTTACTGTATTTACTAATCTTCACTAATGTTAGTTAATAAAAATACAGATGTTCATTGTTAGTTCATGTTAGTTCACAGTGCATTAACTAATGTTAACAAGATTTTAATAATGTGTTAGTAAATGTTGAAATTAACATTAACAAAGATTAATAAACGCTGTATAAGTGCAGTTCATTATTAGTTCATGTTAACTAATGTAGTTAACTAATGAACCTTATTGTAAAGTGTTACCCCTTTTGCAAACGGGTAGAACATCTAAACTTCGAGCAATGAACATTATTGTTTTGCTGCCTTCCCAAATTGTAATGTCTATATTTTACTGTACACTTACTGTACACAAAGACCCTTCATTTTGGTTTATTTAAGATGTACGTCCAGTACAAATGCAACTATTTAGTAACTGAAAATGTAATAGTAAAAGTAGAACCTCATTATAGAATGTTAGTCAACGTGAAATCAAGATTCATCCTGTTTATTTTCTAAACACGTGTTCCTGATCTTATCTAATTGACAATACAGGAATAAATTACATTTTCAAATATATTTCAATAGAAAACACTTATTTTAGATTGTAAAAATATTTCATTATTATTTTAGTTTTTACAGAGCCCCAGGAGACATGGGAATGGAAGAAAATATGAGATGGGAGGAAAAATGATAGTTAGTAAAATGATAAAAATTGTGTTTTAATTTTATATTATAGTATTGCATTCCACCAAGAAACTGTCTCTCACAAATTTGCGATCTCTCGCAAACATTTGTGATCTTGTAAAATATTTGCGATCTCTTGCACATTTGCCATCTCTTGTAAAATATTTGCGCTTTCGTAAAAAAAAAAAGGCGATTTCTCGCAAGAATTTGCGATCTCGTAAAACATTTGCGGTATTTATTTGTGTTAAATGATGCTTATACACAGTATATATCAACTTAAATACGGGGTTATACATTCCTAGAAATATCAGAATATTTTAAAATAGTGTTTTCGAGGCCTTGAATTAATAGAAGGAATTCTATGCAAATGCAATCTCTATAAAACAAGTTTTAAAAGTCCTTATCCAAACAGACACACACACACACATGTATAACTTTATTTTTAAATTTAATTATTAACAATAATAATTTACTTCCAATTAAAATTAGTGCTGTCAAACGATTAATCGCGATTAATCGCATCCAAAATAAAAGTTTTGTTTACATAAAAAATATATATGTATACTGTGTATCTTTATTATGTATATATAAATACACACACATACAGTATATATTTTGAAAATATTTGCATGTGTATATACATTTATATATTTATATTCTTATATTTTAAATTATATATAAATATATTTAATATATAAACATAACTTATTTTTCTTAAATATATACAAGCATGTGTTTGTATTTATACATAATAAATATACACAGTACACGCATATATTATGTAAACAAAAACTTATTTGGGATGCAATTAATCGCGATTAATCGTTTGACAGCACTAATTAAAAGTAATCACACACAGCTGGAAAAGTCAAGGAAATTCATTATAAAAGTTCATATTTATATAAATAAAACCTGATGTACAAAAAATAAAACAATTGGTATATAATTTTCTTAAAATGTTATTAAATTAATAATAATAATTCACTTATAAATAAAGGTAATCACAAACAGCTGGAAAAGACATGTAAATTCATTAATTTGTAAAAAAGTTCATATTTATATAAATAATATATATATATATATATATATATATATATATGATTTTTCTATTTAATAATAATAATAATAATTCACTTATAAATAACAGTAATCCCAAACAGCTGGAAAAGACATGTAAATTCATTAATTAGTGAAAGAGTTCACATTTATATAAATATTAAATTAATATTTAGTTTTATACAATAATATAATCGGTATGTCACATTTTAAATGTACTTATTAATCTAACATAAATAATTTCTGTATTTACAAATAAAATATTGTATAATTCATATATAATTTAAAATGAACTCTACATCAATAATGTTTATGAAAATAGGCTATAATGTAAGAGAATAGAATAGAATAACTTCAGGTTCGGGGGGTGCTCGGTATTTTCTCCATTGTAGACTGTAGGGGGAGCTGAAGGGTTTGCATGTGATTTTAGGTTTGAGTCTGCGCCGCAACCGCCCTGAGCATCCTCATCTTCATCATCTTCATCTTCATCACACTCGCCTCTGGAGCGCGCAGACACAGAAGAAAACATCCACAGCTCGGACACCCATTCAGCTGGAGGATCGGCCTGAAGAAATTCATGGAAATAAAATAGAAATTCATTCCCTTTGCTTTTTATTTTTTGTTTTCTGATCACAGCCAAGCCATTGGACTTCAACATGTCTGAGATGACTAATTTAAAACCAACCTATGGTGAGTGAATCTCGATCTATATTTACGCAACGATCCGGGCTTTAACATAGAGACGCTTTAGAAACACCAGTTTAAATGATTCGGCACCTGTTTATTCGGTTCTTAATTCATCTCGGAGTCAGTTTTTAGGTTAAGGGGATTATTTTTCACTAAATATTCGGAGCAATACTTTCTGTTCATTATTTACAGTATATAGCCTAGGCCAGTGGTTCCCAACACTGGTCCTTGAGGCACCCCGTCCCCAACGCTGCACATTTTGCATGTCTCCTTTCTCTGACACACCAGTTTCAGGTCTTGGAGTCTCTACTAATGAGATGATGACCTGAATCAGGTGTGTTTGATTAAGGAGACATGCAAAACGTGCTGTGTTGGGGTCTGGGGTGCCTCAAGGACCAGGGTTGGGAACCACTGGCCTAGGCTATTTTATATCGGTTTATATTATATTGTATTATAGTGAATGAGGGCAGGAAATAACTGATCATAAAACAGGCAAATCTAAAATCATAAAAAAATTATATTCCCCAGTGAAGTGTAACGCGTAAAGTGCAGCACCGGAAATACGCACATGAAGCCTACATGATTCACCTGACACACGCATGAAGTGTGTTTATCTACACACATGCTGTGTCATATGATGATTGATGTCATTTTAAAAGAGTAGAAGTAGAAAGAAATGCATTTTCTATAGAAAAGACGCGTTTAGATCAGCTAAACTCTCGCGTCGCTGTGGCACTGCGTGCATGACGTTATGTCTGAGGAGAGCGCGAGCATCAGCTGGAGATGCTTTATCCACTTTATTCACTAACTGGCACATGTCATGCATCATAACGATATTCATAATGCCATATAACCTGTACTGTGATTATTCCTATATCTTTTCACAAATAATTGCAACCACAGTCAAATTACAGTTATACATCACTGGCCTATTCCACAGTAAACAGTAGCCTACAACGAACACATGTTGTGATCAGATATGATTATTTATCTGCTATGAATCATATGTGACCCTGGACCACAAAACCAGTCATAAAGGTCAATTTTTTTAAATTGAGATTTAAGCATCATCTGAAAGCTGAATAAATGAGCTTTCCATTGATGCATGGTTTGTTTGAGATGCAACTATTTGAAAATCTGCAATCTGAGGGTGCAAAAAAAATCTAAATATTGAGAAAATCGCCTTTAAAGTGATCTAAATGAAGTACTTAGCAATGCATATTACTAGTCAAAAATTAAGTTTTGATATATTTACGGAAGGAAATGTACAAAATATCATCATGAAACATAATCTTTACATAACATCCTAATGATTTTTTGTCATAAGAGAAAAACTTATCATTTTAACACATACAATGTATTGTTGGCTATTGCTACACATATACTTGTGTTAATTATGACTGGTTTTGTTGTCCAGGGTCATATTTATTACTATATAAGTAGCCTGTTATATAGATCTAAATGAAGTCCTTAGCAATGCATATTACTAGTCAAAAATTAAGTTTTGATATATTTACGGAAGGAAATGTACAAAATATCATCATGAAACATAATCTTTACATAACATCCTAATGATTTTTTGTCATAAGAGAAAAACTTATCATTTTAACACATACAATGTATTGTTGGCTATTGCTACACATATACTTGTGTTAATTATGACTGGTTTTGTTGTCCAGGGTCATATTTATTACTATATAAGTAGCCTGTTATATACTAATATATTATGATAGGCTTTGTTATAAGACATTATAAAATGGAATATCTGTATAATACACCTTTATATGACCATGTTTTATTTCTCATCAATCTTTTATTATTGGGCCTTTTTTATACCACAGAACATAGATGATTTTAACAGGATTAAACGGTTATGATATGATATGTCAAAAACACCCCTCAAGTTTGAATAGCAAAATATTGAATGGAAAACTGTATAGCAAAATGTCTATCTACCATTACTGTTGCCTGAGTTGCCTGCTGACTATAATACAATATAGGCTAATATAAGAATTATATGAAAATATACTGTAGCCTAATGGACTGCCCAGAAAACATGGCTGAGAATATTCAGTAAAAAATAAAACATGATTTTATTTATCATAACTATCATCAGCTGCCAGATTGATTAGCCGTTTTGTGCGAGTCTTTATGGGGGTTATGTCATGCGCCGGAGGAGCTGGAGAGTTGTGACGTGTTTCCTGGTGGATGCGTGTGATGTAGTTTGGGTCAGGTATTTTAGGAACGCGTCTGAGGCCTCTTGGATCACAGCTCAGCGTGTGGGAGTTGCCTGGAAACAGAATCAGCAGCAAGATGTGCGCTCGAGAGGAAAATAACCAGAAACAGTCCAGCCAGATAAACAGAGATTTAGGATATCTGATGCCATGAAGGAAATAAAACCCTTTACTCCTTCAGTTTTACAGCTTTTCAGTGATTTGTCTGCCCACTCTTAAACCAAAAATACTGTTTTATGTGACGAAACAATAGCAAATCAGGACATGTTGGATGTATGTGCATGCACAGTTATGTGAAGTGGGGTTTTGGACAATAAGATTTGACTGTGGGCGGAGCTATCCAATACAACACCACAGAAAAAATAAAAATAATATATATATATATATATATATATATCTTGAAGTGCACTTAATTGTATTGAATGAGCACTTGTAGTGTACTTCAGATCTTATATATATATATATATATATATATATATAAACTGTATTTGCAGATAGTATAATATTAATAAAATAAAGGCCACTTAAGCGAACTTTCATGACTGTTTCTTAACACACTTAAGTACACTTTTAAAAAGCGCACTTTGTAGTAATGTCAGATTATCAAAATAAGAGTTTTACTTTAAGGTACATTCTAAAGCATTATGTTTTAATAATCCTTTGTTGTGCTTTAAAGAAGTACACATTTTAATGTTGACTAATATACTAAAGCACATGATTTTAACTGGCGTGTGTTATTCAAATTTATATATAAAGTTAATATATTTTAAATGTGCTAAATTGCAACTTTATCATTAAAAATGTGTAATTAAAATACATGTAAATATATGTATACATACAAGTTTCAACGTTCATTTGACTTTTTTATTATTATTTTACCGTAAATGCTTATCAGTACATTCAGTAGTACACTTCAAAGTAATTATGAATTTACATATAAATATGTAATTAAGACATACTTAAGTGGGTCAAAAAGCAGATAATTGCATTTAATATAAATGTAAACTATAATACTTTTTCATTTAATCAAAGTGTTGAAAACATTATACTCAGTTCACACTTAAGTATATTATTTCCATAAGTACTCTTTTTAAAAGTATGCTATAGTGTACTTTTTTTCACAAGGCTAGGACTGATATTCCGATTAGCAGGAAGAGCATTTATCAGTAATAACTTTATTGCATCATGCCTGGTTATGACACTTCATATGTGTTTACTAGAATGCTGATGTATGACATAAAACAAGTTTGTATGCCGCTGTATCTTAACCAGGCAGAAACGGAGTGACAAGCGATGACAGATACTGACGCCACAAACTACCAGATATGTGGTCAGTAGCTTGTTTACACTGTATTGCCACAACCACACTGAAATATCACTGGTCCAAAATCCCACTTCCACATAACTGTACACTACACAGCTGTTACATTCTGAGTTTGTAGCATTTTTAGCTTTCAGTGTGAACAGACAACTCACACCTGGTTAAGGGTGGAAATGATTGAAAGTGCCCAACCAAGAACCTGGTTTCTGAATTGTGTCAGATTGAGTCTGTATCAATATTAATCAAATGTCATGTCCTCTCAGATAATAACAGTGCCTTCACTGATTGAGCAGAGAATCGATTGACCTTGCAGGACATCATTTTCATGAGCAAATAGGATCAAGAAAATGCTTTCAGGACGGAAGGTGACCAGGTCAAGTCTCAAACGTCAATAGCAGCTCTCTTTTGCTTGTTTAATGGGCATTCACTGTCTGATTGGGATTATTGATGATGGCAGCAAACGCAGATAGAGTGACGTCATATTTCTTGAATGAGTCTGATTAAAAACTGCCTTACTTTATTGATAACATTCAGAAATGATTAGCTTAGAATTTCATTATACACTATAACCTGCACAGTAAAAAAACCCCTAAAAAAACATTGGTTGAACCTGTAAATAAAACAATAATTATCAGAGTATTTTTACAAGAAAATAGTTCATGTTTAAGTCAATGTGTTAAGCCGAAGAAATTTGGTTTACAAACAATTTTCACTCAGAAATTGCTAGTAATTTCACAAACAATAACATTTACAGTCAAAAAACTGAAATATTATTTTCTTGTAAATCCAATAATGTTATATATATATATATATATATAGTAAATAAAACAAAAAACATTGTTACACAAATAAAACATAGCAATAGCAATTAATTCCTTATAAGTATTAGTATTTATATGTTTTTAGGTTGATTCTGTGATGTTAAATAGCATTTCTGCCTTAAATGTAATTATTAAATATATTATAAAATATTTAAGATTTATTCAACTATTAAGTTATATAAATAATAATGTACATATGAAGCACATTTGTAGGTTAATATTTTTAGATGGGAGTTTCAGCAGTTCACTGAGTGCAGCTGAATGTCTTATGTGACAGATTTAGTCTGTGCGTGTGATGGAAAGCTTAGGTGTTGTCCATATTATTTTTTTATTTAAGATTATATTATTTTATTTTATTTTTTGGACTGTTTGATGGCTATTAAAACGGATCCTTTCCCAACTCTTTTTACTGCAGAGTAATAAATAATTAATAATTCAATTCAAGAGTTGTTTTTGAAGACAGAGAGGCTTTGAAGTGAAGTTCTAGCCTTGACTATATTTGATCTCAGCTTATCGCAGATATCTGCAAAGTGTATATGTCTTGTCCGCTCTCTCTCAAGTGTGTGTGTAGCTGCAGTGATTGAACAATGGCTTGATTTATGCGTGTGACTGGTGGCAGAGTGACAC